CTGCTCGTGCCAACCTCTCGCTCGCGCCGACTTCTGGGTCGAGCCGACCCCTCGGTTTGGCCCATTTCCATTTTGGGCCTCTCTTCCTCTGGGCTTGATCTCTCTTCTTCTTGGGCCTTGAGCCCACAGAGTTCACACCCCATCAAATATATCGGCATCTTTTGCAATATCTTCCACCTAGCTTTAATAACACCAACAGCCGTCTCAATGCAACTTCTTAAAGATGAATGAGCTCGATTAAATATTTCTACGAAACTCTGATTGATGGTATCTAGTTTTAGAGTAAGGTGTCAAATATCCATTCCTTTCTGGGAAGCCTTTATCCACCAAGTAATACTTTCCTAAATGTATATAAAAGTTAATAAATTATAAGTATATTTAACTATAATAGCAATTAATGAAATAAACTTTTTAAACTACCTTGTGGTGGTTTAGGAAATTTGAGACTTGGGTTATTAATCGTGTCAAGAAAAATGCGAGCATCATGTGCTAATCTCTCCCATCTTGTTAAAACATATGTGAATAACAGATCAAAGTTATATGATGCTAAGACATTGGTAGTTGGAATCCCTTTCCTTCCTCTATATCTCATTTGGTCTTCCTCTCTTACAGTTATTGCAATATGTGTGCCATCAATAGCTCCAATGTAGTTCTAATTTAAGGGGAAAAAGTGATATATATTAATTCACATATTGATGTAACAAATATATAGATAAGAATGAGATGAACAACATATTAATTCACTTACTTTAAAATGTGGCATATATCTATTATCATTAGCAATTTGTGGCGGGATCTCCTTGAACTCATGATCTTTTGGTACAAGCATATCTCTTGAGAATTCATCCATGACATTTAACACTTCTTTAATAATTCTACTCACGGTTTCACCAGAATGTTGAAAGCGTTCTTGAGTATCGCTATTAGAAGCACCCTTACTAAGCACATATACAAATATACAAAGTTTCTATAAAGTTGAGATCCTATTTGAAGCCCTCAAACCATACTTGGTTTCTAAATCTACACATAAATGACGAAATTTAATTGGATTCATTCTAAATACATTAAAACACCGTTTCTCATTACCATTCATTAATTCATTCATCAATCTTTCTCCAGTTAAACTTGAAGTCATGCATGACTCTTTGTAAATATGCTTCAAAAAGTACACACACATATACCCGGCCATACAAGCCACCAAGTCTCAAAATTCATCCTCATTATCCAAGTACTACTTAATTATGATAAGTTTCCTAATTTGCTTAGTATTATTCATCATGTCTTGTTGCCTAACACACAAATTAGTATATTTATTATAGAATTCCCATTCATACTTTAAAAAAAACCATAAACAAATTACATAGAATTTCCTACAATAAGAATTCATAATAGTTCATTAAATAAGAAATTACATAACAGTTCATAATAGTTCATACAATAAGAAATTACATAAGAGTTCATAACAGTAAATTACATAACATTTCCTATAATAAGAGTTCATTTTTTTTTGAAAGCCAATCAGACGATTGTATTAATGAATGAACGCAGTAATATCGTTAGGGGGAATAGAATCCCAATACATAGAATGTTTCTGAGCGAATGCTAAAGAAGCTAGAGTATGAGCATGTAAATTAACTTGTCTAGAAACATAAGATAATGAAAGATGATTAAATAGAGACATAGTAGTCTTGCACTGATCAATCACGACCCCAACATAAGAGAAGGTAGATGTTGTTTGTTGGTGTAGAGCACTCCGTAACACCATGCAATCCGTGAGAAGACAGACCGTTGTGATATTCCTATCCAACTAGTGCCTCCGCCATAAGTGGCGAGAAACAAAATGGTAGCTTGCCATTTTTTGCTGCTACGAATAAACCCTCTGATGAGAGTAGCACCACACCGTACGTGGCCTCCCCGGTGTCCTACCGGAAGCCGGCGTCTACATAGCATCGTGGTGCACCGTGATCTGCTGCCGTATCTGGTGCCGCCGGCGGTGGGTGTGCTGGGCGGTGATGGGCCTGGCGGTACAACAGCATGGCAGCGGACGCCCTTTTCCAAACGTCGTTCGGGCGTGATAATGAACCGTCCCATAAGGCTGTATTCCGACTCCTCCATAAGTGGTATAGCACAACGACCATGAGACCACATTGTTCCTCCGCCAATACTGCCAAAGCACCCATTAGCCATATTGGAAAGGAATTTGTAACAATATTTGTAATAAGTAATTGTGCAACATTCCAAACAAGTCTAGAATATTCACATAACACAAGAGCATGCAACACATCTTCATGATCTAAACCACACATTGGGCACACAGGATCCACTTCTACTCTCTTCACTATTAGATTATCAATGGTGGGAATAATATCACATATAGCTCTCCATAAAAAGGTCTTCCATTTTTGTGGGATTTTTAATCTCCACATTGTAGCCCATTTATCAAAGGCACCTGAGCTATTACTAAAGACCCCCATAATACACCTATATGCATTTTTAACCGTATAAATCCCATTTGGGTCTTCCTTCCAATACCAAGAGTCCTAGTAGCTCGGGCTTACTGGAATCATAGTGATCCAGTTTACATCCTCAGGGATAAAAAGACCAGATAAAATATGTGGATCCTAGGTGTTTGTTTGTTGATCAATCAGACCAACCACTAGTGCTTCCCTTAGTTCTCCTGGCATCTCCGTTTGAACTAGGGGTGGCCCCATATTAGCGTTGTGTGGCCATTTCCAATTCTTCTCCGTACCCCAGCGCATACCATAGCATGTGCAGCCATAATACTTCTCCAACAAAAACTCGGGCAATTTCCAATGGTAGCATCAACAAAACTAGTTGTAGGATAATAACGAGCCTTATAAATCTTTGCCGCGAGAGAACTTGGGTTAGTAAGAAAACGCCATGCCTGTTTACCCAACATGGCTAGATTAAATGCCCGTAATTCTTTAAACCCCAATCCACCAACTTTCTTAGGGACACATAATTTATCTCAAGCCTTCCAATGTATTCCCCTGTCTGCACCATTTCCCCACTAGAATTTATTCATGGTTCGCTTAATAGATAAACAAACTGCCTGAGACAGCAAAAAAAAAACACTCATTGAAAAGGTAGGCATAGATTGAGCCACAATTTTCAACAGTACTTCCTTACCAGCCTGGGATAGTGACTTTTTATTCCACGACCCAATTCTTTGTCTTATTTTATCCTCCACATAAGAAAATACAGCCCTTTTATTCCTCCCCACAAAGGATGGTAGACCAAGATATTTTCCAAAATTTACAGCTTCCTCCACCCCAAGGCATCTCGCCACCTGATCCCTATCATCTTCCCGGGTATTCCGGCTAAAACAGATATTCGACTTATTATAATTCACCACTTGACCATACAATTTCTCATATCTTATTAGGCACTGTTTGATAACACCGGTCTCCTGGATATTTGCTTTAAAAAATAATAAGCTGTCATCTGTAAAAACCAGGTGTGACACAGGAGGTGCCCCCCTAGCCACTCTACACCATGTATTGATAATGCCATTTGTGCCTTTTGCAATAACATCGACAGGCCTTCTGCACAGATAATAAAAAGATATGGAGAGAGGGGATCCCCTGTTTGAGCCCACGGGTAGGCACCACACGGGCCCCAGCAACACCATTCACCATCACAGTATAATTAACAATCGTTACACACAGCATAATAAGTTGAATCCATTTTTCACTAAAACCCATGACAACCAACATTTTTTTTCAAGAACGGTCATTCCATTTTGTCATAAGCTTTTGACATATCTAATTTAAGTGCACTCCACCCCATTAAACCACACCGTTTCCTGTTCAAAAAGCCCTACCTCGGCTGCTACCAAAATGTTATCCGTGATCAGTCTTCTTGGGATAAAAGCACTCTGGGATTCCTACAAAAAGAGTTCATAATAGTTCATTAAATAAGAAATTACATAACATTTCATAATAATTCATACAATTAGAAATTACATAAGAGTTCATAATAAGACATTATAATAAATTACATAACATTTCCTACAACAAAAGTTCATAATAGTTCATACAATAAGAAATTACATAAAAGTTAATACATAACTACTACTAAAGCAAAACACTACCAAAGCCAAATACATAACACTTCATGCATAACCATTAATGCTAGTTTTCTTTCTCATATAAGAACTTGATGTAGTCAACTCTCACCTTATCATCTGGTAATCCAATGATAACGGATCTTTCTTTTGGATCTTCAATTAGCTAGCGTGCAAGCAAAGAAAAATTCAGGGGTGCCGAATTCCAAATCGGGCAAAATATACAATTTTGCCAATGTATCCATAATTTCATTAGGACTTGGGTTTTCATTGAAGTCAAAACATCTATAAGTGACATATTCACATCCTTAGATACATTAGTTTTTTCTCCAATAATTTACAACATATTATCAAGTTTCTCCGACCGGTAGTGGATCAGATAAGGTAGTTGCGAAGGTGAGAAGAGGTGGATCGCAGACGACAGATGACGTGACACGGGGAGATGAGGCGGACACAGAGGTGAGAACTGAGTGAAGGAGACGGACGCGAAGGTGAAACTGAGCGAAGGATTATGAATTTCAGAAGGATAACATTGTCATTTTACAAAGAAAATCAATAAGCTATTCTCGAACGCTGAGTATATCAGCGTTTAGTATTTTGGTTGATAGGCCCAATCAACCAAGGCCAATAAGTCATTTATTAAACACTCCAAATCAACTTATTCATAAGGTCAAACAGCTAAACATGATTAAATTAATCAATTTTTAACTTATAAGTCAATAACCAAACACTCCCTTAATTTGAAAGAAAAGGTCTAATTAAAAATACAAGATCTGACCTTTTATTATTATTATTTTTTTGAAATATCTGACCTTTTATTTGTGAGAGTTATACAATTTCACCACAAGTTTTTATTGTTTCTTTTTTTTTTTTTTTTTTTTTTTTTTTTTTTGGTAAAAGAAAAAAGTGTCAACAGATCAGAATCGTTAACTTCGCCAGCCCCTACTTCTACCTTGCGCCGCTCAGCTGACACCTCTCACTCCTCACCTCAAACGCTCTCGCCTCTCTGTCTCTCACCTAGATTGCCAGACGCCCAGACACCATCGGCCCATCGCCAGAGTCTTTCTCCGTCTCCGCCTCTCCGCTTCTTACCCTCTGACCCTCTTAGCCACTCCGTCTCCAGCTTCGCCTCTCCGACTCTTCGTGGGTTCATAAGCCAGTCTCCGGCTATCCGCCTCTCCGGTTAGTCCCCTCTAACATCATTTGCTCATTCTCTATTCCTTTCTACATAGGAAACCCTAGATCCGGAGATCTCCTTCGAATTTATGCTTAATTTACGATTTTATGAATTTACTGTCACATATTAATGTGAATTGTTTATGACTTTGATTCTTTAATTTATACCGTGAATTTTATGATTTTTATGAATATACAGTCATATGAACATACTGTGAATTTTATATTATACTGTGAATTTTATATTATACTGTGAATTTTATAATTTATACTGTGAATTTTATTCTTTATACTGTGAATTTTATGACTTTTAGTTTTATGGATATACATTTTTTAAGGTGAACTAAAACAGAAACTACAAGAGGTATTTTAAAGATCTAGTATTATGATGTCTGTGTTTGCTGAAGTACATACTTTTTGAGTTTCTATCATATGCCTTTTTCATTAATGATTTTTTTTGCTTTTATCAGTTTATGTATGCTAGGGTACTTTTATCAGTTTCCCCTCAGAATCTTAGGAATGCATATTTGAATTGGTAATTTGGTATGCTCCATTTTTAGTCTTTTTGAATTGGTAATTTGATATGCACCCGCACTTTGTCTTTTTGAATTGGTAATTTTATTTGATATGTTTTGTTTACTTACTGCTATATCAATAATGATGTAACTTCTATACATTATTTAAACTCTCAACTTGTGCTTTTAATTTGTATTTAGTATCATAGCATAATTAGCCTTATTGGAATTCATATATGAACTTTTACAATAAACTATCTTTATTGTTGTTTGTCGTAGGGGTCATAATTAGGGATGACCATGGTTTGGTTTGAACCTTCCGGTTTGAACCGAACCTTGCACGGTAGGAATGAAGGGGTTCCGGTTCTTGATATTATGGAATCGGATGGTTCCGGTTCCAAACCTTGGAAAAAGTTTAACATTTATTAAAATTAAAATTATGGGCTTTGATTCTTATTGATATTATGGTCATTTCTTCTACCAAATGTCTACACACTCTATCTCTCTAGATTTTTTTTCTTCGACTTGGAAGTTTGCAGTAAGCACTCTTCTTAGTCTTCTCCTTAGCTACACACATATTGATTGCCATGTTTTCGCGTAAAATTAACTGTATCAATTCTAGGTTTTATTAGAACATTTCTAATATAATTTCTTTAGAAGCTCCAATAGGCTAATGCGACGTTTCAAATGAATTGATTTTTTTTGGATGTTTAAAACTTTAGATGAGCTGTTTCTAACAAATTAACATAAGGCACATGCTGGATTCTTTGAGAGTAGCTACATTGGTATTATTTGATCTATGGAGCAACCACTACTATTGACCTTCTGCCATGTTAATTGATAATAGAATTATCTCTCCTTGCACATTTGTCTTTTAATGTCTTATTATTGTGTCTGATGATTGCATAGAGGATATATGTAGATTTTGTAGTCAACTTAGGTACATACTAATATGATGGTTACCTTGCCTCCCATTCTTATACTTTGTAGTAATTGTGCTCTTTGATCCTTATTATATGACTACAGTTTAACTTAAAGAAGTATTGAATTAATTATCATTTACTAGTAGTAGGTCATACTGTCTTAGAAGTTAGCATTATTGGTTGTACCTATTCCATGAAGAATATGTGCTTTCCACTCTATAAATATTTAGTCTAGCTATATACTAGATTTATTTTACTTTAATTATAACCTATGGGTCATCACTTTATTTACAGGGAATTTGTTTGAAGAAACTTCTTCATGGCAGCAAGAAATGCTTTGAGGTATGTATCTCGTAGGTTCTCAAGTAGTGGCAAGGTGCTCAGTGAGGAGGAAAAAGCTGCAGAAAATGTCTATATCAAGGTGAATCTTTAATTGTGTACATGGTTCTACCTGCATTCACCTTTTAATACATTCTTGGTAATAGCTTCTTTCTTTGTGCTTCTATATTCTTCTTTTTTCCTTGTTAATGGTGTAATATTTCCTGATATATCTGTGCTTAATTGTCTAAGCAATTTTGTTATTTAACCATATGGTATTTTGACCAAATATTTGGCATGAGTAGTGAATTGAACTATTAGGATGTGTTGTAAGAATTTATTAGAGAGTACTATGTACGGACTACTTATTGATGCTTTGCATGAAAGCTTTCAACAGGAAAGTTCTGATGGTTCTTGAAATGCATTGATGTAGATGCTGCATCTCATTTGATTATAATGTGCTGTGTTTGTCCCTTTAAATTGATAAAGATTTTTTAAAAAATATGACTTAGTAAATGATAGACAGGCTATTACAGGCGCTGTTGAAAATGGCATTGAAGAAAACAGTTTCAGCATTTTGAAATTCACGCATCACATAATTGAACAACAAATTCATTTGTTCTTGAATGAACTGAATGAAGATATATAGAAATGGATCTCCCCTCACAAGATTTAGAAGTTGCTTGGTACTTGGCAAATTATTCTATTATTCTATATTTCTAAATTCCTTACACTACTCCCTTTACTGATGCAGAAAACTGAGCAGGAGAAATTGGAGAAGCTTGCCCGAAAGGTCTGTCAATCTTGACTATATTATGGTTTTGTTTTTGTTCTCTTAGTCATTTTGTGTGCTACCCTCATTATTATTGCTTCCAACATATTAGTTGAGAGTAAGGTCCCTGCTGGATAGGGGGAAAAACCTGGGAGCTTGTTAATTATAGTTGTAGATCTGAGTGAATAAATGTCTATAACTTTGACTTGGTTTGTTTTGAAGGTTTAAATTCAGTATGGTAGAGGTGTTTGCATGTTCCATTCTCATCTGTATGAACTGATAATTTACAGAGTATTTTTATGCTTGTAATCCATTTTCATTCAGTAAACTATTAACTATGCATCTCATTGTGGATGTTAGGCAAACCACTTAGCTTCTGTGAGGCCTAATTTAGTGGTTTGGCATGATTTTAAGTACTTCAATTGAACTCTAAGCTAATAATCCCTTTTGAAATTGAGAATATAGTAGTGACAATTTGGGAGAGTTAGATGGCTATTCTGTCTATTAATTTTCTTGTGAGCTCCTTTTTTTTTTTTGGGTTTAAATTTGGCAACGAATTTGTCTCCCCAGGGTCCCAATCCAGAAAAACCAGCTGCTGCCAACTCTGGGGATTCAGGGTCTGTAGCGGATGCTAAAGCAGGTGCTCAAGCCTCCTCCTCAACACCCGGGGTGTCGAATGACAATTACCGCAACTATGGTGTTTTGGCTGGAATTGTAACTGGTGTTGGTGCTCTGGGCTGGTATCTGATGTCAAAGGACAAGAAGAAAGAAGTACAGGACTGAAGTATAGTGTTTTGTTGATAGGAGCATGGACTTTGAAAATAAAACCTTGAATCATGAAAACAATGGTCCCGTATCGTTTTCCTCATGGATGTAGAATTTCTCTTCCATAATTCAATGATATTTTGCACTCTGGCAGAGGCATGCTGATGTGATTTGATTTCCTTATCCACCTTGTCGCATTCAATTTTCGGTCGCCATTAGCCTAATGCTTTCACTTCTGGTTAAAACGCAGGCTATATTCTGGTTAAGTCTAAATATGTTTCCGAGTTGTGCTTGTGAGCATAATAGTGGTCAGTGGATGGAATGTGGCTCACTGTCTCTAGACTCTAGATGCTTACTTCCGATCCCCAACCATAAAATAGCTCGACTTACAGGTACATCATTGATAGAGCGGCGTATGAGTCTAGGGGTCATAAATTCACTCATTATATCTAGAATTGCATGCGGATATGATTAAAAATTGGAGCGGAAGAATTGTAAAAGTTGTATTAGATTAAGTAATTAAGTGGTTTTGGAGTAACATTTATGGCCCGTTTGGTTCACGGAATAGGCCGGGAATGGCATAGCATTCCCAGTAATAGGCCTATTCCGTTGTTTGGTAACCATTTCTATTATCAGGAATAATATTCCTGGTAATAGCCTATTACCTCAAATAAGGTAATAGCTATTACTAGGGCCCCCCCTGGTATTAGCCTATTACTGAACGTTCAGGAATAGATTTTAGAATCTATTTCCTTTTTTACCCCTTTCTATAACCTAATTTTTTTATCCTATATATAAATTTATCTTATTTCACCACCGTAGTCGCCGCCACCACCACCACCATCGCCGCCGCCACCACCGCCATCACCGCCATCGCCGCCGCCACCACCACCATCACCGCCGCTGCCGCCGCCACCACCATCTCCGCCGCTGCCGCCGCCACCACCACCACCACCATCGCCACAACCGTCGCCGCCCCCCCCCCCCCACCACTGCCACCGCCACCACCATCACTACCACCACTGCCACCACCACCATCACAGCCATCGCCACCACCATCGCCGCCGTCGCCACCACCACCACCACCATCGCCGCCGCCACCACCACCACCATCACCGCCACCGCCACCACCATCGCCGCCGTTGCCACCACCGCCACCAGAACCACCACCCAGCAGCACCACCGCCACAACCGTCGCCGCCCCCACCACCACTGCCACAACCGTCACCGTCACCACCACCACTGCCACCGCCACCACCGCCATCGCCACCACCACCGCCACCATCACATATTTTTATAAGGGTATTTATGTCTTTTAAAACATATTTCATATCTATTCCTTAAATCAACCAAACACTGTAATATAATTCCTAGAGTCTATTCCTTCCGCGAACCAAACAACAGAATACAATTCTTATTCTATTCCTTGCCTATTCCATTCCTTATGGAATAGCATTCCTATTACCTCAAAATTCATTCCGTGAACCAAACGTGCGGTTATTCTTCCAAGTTGTTTACCAATTACGATGCCTATACCCATGTAACACAATTAAAATCATTAAAAAAAAACAATCAAAAAAAAAAAAAAAAAAAACAATGAAAGTATACAAAGAATTTAACTCCGAATTTGATAACGTCATGTCTGGGTGGTGTAGTTGGTTATCACGCTAGTCTCACACACTAGAGGTCCCCGGTTCGAACCCGGGCTCAGACAAACATCTCTCACATTTTTATTTTGTGATTACAGTCTTGTTTTGTCTCTCAAACGTCCACGAATGAGAATTATTAATTTGTAGCACGTGTTCCTGCAGCCACCATGGCACATATAATAGTTCCAAGCACCGCAAGAAATCACAAGGCTCGATTTCAAGCTTCTTGATGCTCCTTCATATATTTTAGGCTTTTAGCGCAGTGCATAATACTCCGTATTAGAGAAGTCGTCAACCCAGATTAAACTACACAAGCACAATAATTATACTGCGAAAAATTAAAAAGATTACCTTGATGACTTGTACCACAACCTTAGCCTCTTTCAATCTTGCAAACTCTATTAATCTATCTGATGTTGAACATCATTAATGTTGAATGGCACGGCAATTTCTTGATTACCATCCACATTATCCTCCTTTCTACCGCTTATCATTTTTTTTTTTTTTTTGATGAAAATTTATCATTCTTTTGACCTGTTTTACGTTTTTATTTTAATTCCAACTCTCTTGATTGCATTGCATAATTAGTGCCAATAAAGCTCCCCGAAAAATTAAAAAAGATTTACGTTAAGGTAATATTGACGTGTGGCCACTTAGGTTACAACTTACAAGTGTCTTGCATTTGCCTTGCATGTCTGCTCGTGCCTACGCGCCACCATTACTTTCAATTCCTGATTTTTGTTGCTTTTATTTATTATTTATTTTGGGTATCTTTAAGTAGGTAAATGGGAGTCAACGAGGCTTTGACTGGTTGGTAAAGGGAGATGGTTATATGTTATTCACTCCGACACTTTATTTTATTTTTTAATTTCTTTAATTATTTTCATTTTGATTAATGTTGATAAGGATGAAACATCTCAATAGCACACAATAATAGAGTGAATATTTTGATTTAGAAGATATGATCGAGTTAGTGGAATATATATAATTTTTATATTTGAGCCAAGATCCTGGCCGAGCTCAACCTCAGCCTCGACATTAAGCCAAGCCCTCACGCTGACCCTTGGGTCGAGGCCTCGCGCCGAACCCTCGGTCGAGGCCTTGAGTCGACCTCTCGGCCAAGGGCTTGTGCTGACCCCTCGATTGAGGCTTTGAGCTGGTTCCTCGACTAATGGTGGCTGGCCTAGCAGGTGCATGTCGGATGGGAGGGGGGGGGGGGGGGGCGACTTTGGTCATGTCACCCCGTCAAGTCAAACAAAATTTTTTACTCATTCAGATCGGGTGTTAGCAAAGCAAAGAAAATGAAGTTCTTCATTCAACATTGATTGGGTTCAAGTACATAACGAAGGAAGAATGCGGGTTGGAATTTATGAGGCGCAGCTCGGATTGGGCGGTCAGAATTTATGAGTTGCGGCTCGGAGTAGGCGTGTCGGAATTTATGAGATGCAGCTCGAAGTAGATGGGTCGGAATTTATGAGATGCAACTCGGAGTATACGGGTCGGAATTCTGCAAGGCACGGCTAGGAGTATCTACTCTCCTTCATTGACGACTTCTCGCAGCTCGGAGAGTGGGGGACTGATGATGGCCATATTATTGGAAATGGAGCAAACAGACCCAGAGAAATGGTGCATCGAAGACCTGTGGCCCTAGGATAAAGCCCCGCGCGTGACCCGGGTCGTCTCGGCAGTTGACCCCCTAGGCCGACCCCTCGGCCGACCTCCTTGGCCGAGCCCATGGGCCGACCTCCTTGGTCGAGCCCCTGGCCGACCTATCCGGGCGCCGGGCGCGGTCAGAGGCGGTTATAACCGTCCCCTCCTCTTTAGGGGGGCGGTTAGGGGGTACATTATGTATAATAGGCCTCCCTATTGTCTCATTAAGACATGTTCTATCCTATTTGTCCTAAACCACTCTTGCAATAGCATTGCAACACCATTGTAATAGCTTGACAAATACAATTTAATACAATATTTGGTCTCCGTGACCCTACAACACTTGTTTTGCCTATTTTACCTATCCATTTACTATTTACATAATTTATCGGGTTTATTGATTCGGTCTACTCGGTTAATTAAATCCATCAATGGTGTAAACCTAATTAATATAGTGTACAAACTTGATTAGTATATGTTTTTTATTTTTTATTTTTTTTGGATGAAGAGGATACCGCACTAGCCGCGATTATTTGATTCTTATAAATCTGGCTCCTCCACATCAGCCTGAAGAAGCTCAATCATCTCATCCGGAGGGGTTTCCAAGATCCTAGTCCCCAAATTATTTGTCTGTCCAAAATTGCCAAGTAGTCTGCGCACTTGTTTCCTTCCCTCAGAACATGTGAGAAAACCAAACAATCAAAACCCTTTAATTTACAAGAAACTTACAATCCATGATGAGGGATGGAAGGTTATCCCCCTGGAAACTCTCATTCATCACCTCAATGACAACTTTCAAATCAAGCTTAACTAGAAATTTCTAAAAACACCTCTCTCTATCGAGTCGTAGACCCTCCCTTAGGCCTCACAATTCAACATAGTAGCTATCAGTCCCTCCTACATTGATCGTGAAACCCATGATCCACCTCCCTTGGTGGTCCTGAAAGAGACCACCAGCACTAGCAAACCTAGTGGGAGCCTTTCTAGTCCCGTCAGTATTCAGTTTGATCCATCCCTCCAAAGGTGGAGACCAACCAACCCACAAAGGCTTACCACCTTTAACTGTGTCCCTTTTAGTCAGTAGCCAAGCTACTTCCTTTGCAAGAATTGTAGTTGTCTCAATCACCTCACTCGGGTCAAGCAACAACCCATTGAAGACAAAATGGTTACGAGCTTTCCAAATTCCCCAATTGATTACTATATGTATCATATATATCAACCCGATTAATGATATAATATACCTTACATGCAATACAAGTAAATTTTATTTATGCTCTATCCAAAATTAAGACACTATATAAACATAAGTGTTTAAATAGTATCCAAAATTAAGACACTATATAAACATACGTGTTTAAATAGTATTCCGTATTATAATAGAAGTATCTTGTTAATTTATTCTTATATTACGATTTTATTTATATATATAGAATCTGGTTCATATGAGAACCACTCCCAAAGTCAGTACATGTGGTCTAATCTGTTGGAAAAATAGCATTAAAATAACATTTTAAGTGACTATTTCGTGGTAGAATTATTAGTGGGGTCCACTTCTGATTTGGGTCGGGTCAAAGTGGATTCCGGTTCTTCGTAGTGAGACGAAGAGATTGATATATTGTACGCTCAAAACAAATAATGGGTGAATGAGAAATTGATTATCAAAGTAGACCCATTAAGTTAGAAAAATGAAGGGAAAAAGAGAGGGGTCGTTTATCAACTTGGAGAAATAGAGGATTTTTTAGAAAAATGAAGAAATTAAGAAGTGGAAAAAATAAAAATTGGAGAAGTTGTTTACTGAATTTCTTCTTCTAAATGCTTACTCCTCCAATCTCCAACTTTCTTAAAGAATTTGGAGAAGTTGATTTCCAACATCTCCAAATGGAGAAACGGAAAAACGCGCGTACAAAGTGTATGAAGTTTAAAGATTGAATCCTGTTGGCTGTGCGTTTCTTGAGTCTTGCCTCCTTTGTACTCCCCTTTCCCATCCCCCTAATAATAATTATTATTATTATCTTTCTTCATATTTATTATTATTATTATTATTATTATTATTATTATTATTATTATTATTATTATTATTATTATTATTATTTCCTCCTCCTTATTCTATTATGGACATAGATTTATTATTATTATTACTATTTTATTATTATTATTCCTCCTCCTCCTTATGCTGTTATGCACATAGATTTTATTATTATTATTTTTTTTCATCCTCCTGCACATAGATTTATTATTATTATTATTATTATTATTATTGCAGAAAAGTATAAATGCTATGTGGGGTGATTGTATTTAATAATGGAGAAATGGAGAAATAAAAAATTAGAGGAATGGAGAAGGAAAATTGGAAAAATAGAGAAATGGAAAACTGGAGGAATGGGGAAGGAAAACTGGAGAAATGGAGAAATGGAAAACTGGAAATGGAAAAACAGAGAAATGAAGTAATCGACCCCGAAGCTTTTATCCCATATTGGTTTGGGAAGTGGGTTTGCACCACTATTTATACAAGAGCGTTTCTAAGGCTTATTGAATTGTATAGCATAGAGGTTCTGTTTCGCGCGCAGGGAGGGGGGGGGGGGGGTGTGCAAATCAAATTCTAAAATGAGCCTGAAAAGGCTTGATTCAAGCTTGACTCGTGTACACTGGCACATGCGAACACGACTGACCTTACGGGCTACGTTATGCCAAATTTCTATATATTTTTCCAACACATAAACACAGGATTCGGTCTTCCCAATGTCGAATCATGATTCGGTCTTCCCAATGTCGAATCATGGGCCATACATGGATTCGGTCTTGGGTATGGCCGAATCATGGCGGGGCAACAGCACGAGCCATTGGCTTGTGCTTCTTTTCGGGTTGGTCGATTCTGGTTCTGTAACCAGAATCGTTTGCCCTCCTCTGGACCATTACAAGTCTTAATTCAAAATTAATTCTCACGATTAATGGTTAGCTGTTACAACAGTTTTTGAACTGATTTAATATAAGTACGAATGCCAGATAAATGCTACTACGTATTAAGTACTCAATCTCCTTTATAAACTTGTGTAGATGCAGCAGGTTTTAGACGAACAAAAGAGACACAACACATACAACAAGAAATTAGATTTTCTTCTCTCCAAAACTCTGCTCCTAATCCTTCTTGCCGACTGTGTTCTGTCCGTGCTCCAGTTCGTCGGGTTCTTCGTTTGGGTGCTCAAACATTGAACCGTAGTACGTTTTATCCTGGGAAACCTAGGCTACAACGCTCCTAGCACTTTTGGAAGGTAGCAAATAAGGTTTTAAGGAAAGAGTGTTTCGCTCGACTCGTACTAACCACCTTTCCTTCATCTTCGATCTTCTCGTCTTTCGGTTCAAGGTTTTGGGATTATGCTCTAAGCAATAAATCCTTGTTCTATATATATATATATATATATATATATATATATAGTTGTTGGTTGGAATTATAATCTAAGAAGATTATATAAATTCCATATTGATTGTCGCGCGCGCACACACACACACACACACATACACACACACACACACACACACACACACACACACACACACACACACACACACACATATATATATATATATATATATATATATATATATATATATATATATATATATATATATATATATATATATATATATAGTTTCTAAATACATTGTGTTTCTTGATTTTAGATCATTTTTAGGAATTTTTTGATTGTTTTCCTTCATTATTCTTCTTTTGAATTTTTCCGGTGTCGATGGTGATTGCCCAACATGGCTTCATGTTTGTTCTCTCTCTCTCTCCTTTTTTTTTTTTTTTTTTTGTTTTGTTTTTTGCGGTTCATTGGAGTATGCTTTTGATTAGGTTTGTTGATAAATATGTGATTTTAGGAGGGGGTGCATCGTAGGTTGTTGATTTATGCATTGTGGCGCTATGTGTGGTGCATCGTAGGACTTTGGTTTGTTCATTGTTTGTGGGGTGTTAGGTGTTGCTACTAGCGTGAGGTTATTTGGTTATGCATCATATGACTATGTTGTGCACCTTTGTGCACTCCCAGAATAAAAGTTGTGCATTGCTAACGTGGTTGAAAAAATCGCTAGGCGCTAATCGGGGCGCTCGGGGGGGGGGGGGGGGGGGTGCTAGGCTAGGCGGCGATTAATCGGCGCCTAGGTGCCCGCGTATATTTTAATTTTTAAAAATTTGTTTTTTTTTTAAATTTTTTAAGACTTGATAATTATAAACTATTTAATACTTTAATAGTTAATACTAAAATATTAAATATTAACCTAAAAAATATTCAGAGTTTGACCAATTTAAGGTTATTTCGCTCAAAACGATATCATTTTGAGTGAAATAACCCAATTAAAAAAGAAGATAATTTCTAATTTTTGTTTATTTTAAATTTTATATTAAAATAGTTAACAATCTATTCATGTTAAATTTTATATTCAAGGTAATTCAATCTATAGTCTATACTATGAGTCTGTGAGTCTATTAGTCTATATGTCTTGGCTATATATCTCTAAATAAATTATATAAAGTATAAATTATGTTCATGTGTTGTACATAAAGTGTTGGGAGTATAAAACTGCAAAATGAACACAGTTGTATACATAAAGTCTTGACAGAATGACACTAAGCCAGTAACTGTGTTCAATTGTTCATGACCTTCATCACTGATTCACTTTATGTGTACTTCTGTTTAGTGTTTTGGCAGTATAAACTATAAAGTCTAGGAATTAAGTTATTCACCTTTTCATTATTTCAGTTTTTAATTTTAGTATTAAATTATTATTTTTAATTATAGATGCCAACAATGAGATCGATGCATATGGATGATGATACGTGTAACACCCCTAAATTTTGAGATATTTAAAACTTATAAAATAAAGGCAAATCTATTATTAATTCCCAAACAGAGCATAAACTAAGTATAGTAGTCGGGGTGCTATGTCACATCTGAGCTAGAGAACCCAGATGCACAGGCTAAACTAACTAACAAGACATAATCCGTAATTAATACCAAAATACAATTCAAGGCACGCAGGCCATCTTATCAAAGCTAGAACTACCTAATCTAAGCCCACGAGTCCAACTAGTGCACTACGAAGCTACTCAACTGCCCCTGAAAAACATTCGGTGTAACAACCATCAGCGAATAATGCTGGTAACCCACTCCAACGCGTTAAGTACAATATAGGTAGATATAAGAAACTCATTTTGAAACTGAAATACATATATACTTACGAGACTCTAATTTAAATCCAAGATCAAGACTCAAGACACGTTAACAGACTCAACAATATAAAATAATTATAAAGACTAACATGCTTCCTAAGAACGCAATACAAGGTATAACAGACCGCTAGGCATGTGAAATAGCAATTAGAGGCAACGAAGGTATTCAAGACAGTCAGTTAACAAGTAGTCAACAAAGCACACTGTTCTTTCTCCAACCTTATACCAAGTTCCAACCTTGTAGCTCTCCTCCGTCCTTATATCAGTTCCGACCTATACCTCTAGGCCACACTTATATCACCACCCTTTATGCCTCCGGCCAACTACATGCCCCCACCGACAAACCACCTATCAACCACCAACATATCAAGATGGTGCCGCACTGCCATTCAATGATTCGCACCTCTAGTGCCACTATCAAGGGGTTAGCGCATATAACTCTAACATGACACCGGCAGCACTTATAACTTGACCTATGCTCAATGGCAGGCTAATCGAAGGTGGGTGTGTGCCTTTAGCACAGTCACCGCTATGGCCTGTACCTTTAGTACAATGACCGGGCACAAGTGGTGCCAACCTCCGACAATTCATTTCCACCAATCACAATCTCATCATCATCATTAATCACACCGGCCATTGCGCAAATGACCACGATACTCATCACCATTCAATCAATCAACACATAAGCAAATAACAATCAAGACACAACAACGACGACACGTATTACACATAAATTCCTAGGATGATACCTAAAACACCAAATGAGACTCATACACGACAAACGGGGTACAACGGGACACAACGGAACACGGGGAAACAACAAACGGGGAAAACATCACGAACCCCGACCGATTTCCAGCGGGTAGGTGGCGGGTGGTGACCACCCGCCGGCGGTCACTCGCCTTCCAGCGGGTGGCCGGCGGGCAGACCATCGCCCGCCGGCTACCCGCTGGAATAGTGATATGGGCAACGGGTAGGTGGTAGGTGGTCAGCCCCCCCACCTACCCCTCACTGATACACATGCAACTCTCAGTCCCGGGATCTCTCGTGGAACCCGAAACTATGTCCAAACACATTCAAACACATAATGACAACACCACGTATTCAATTAACAGAATTAAACCAAGAATCACACCAAATACGTCCTGACACGATTCCTAAACATACCAAGACCCAACATAAATCATATAACGGTCCAGGAGCATCCGGAACCACAAGAACATCAAGAAATCTATATGCAAGTCCTAAATACAAGTCCTAGGCTAGACTCAACACCCGATCATGCATAATCCCACCCAAATATTCCAAGAACATCATAATACGAAATTCACGATATAAACCCTAGGGCTCTAGACATAATTAAAGTACGAGATCATACATATAGCCAATCACAATATCAAGAACATCAAGATTATCAAACAAGCACAATATAAATCCTATGCAAGGGCTCTATCAAGACTCAATCACAGAATTACACATACGATTATCAAAGTAGCCAATGAATAAGATATAGCAAGGAAAATAGGTTTTGTTGAGACAAGGGTTACCTCTTAGCCCTAACCAATATCCCTGGCTACTAAGGTTCTTCTCTAAGATTCTTCCTCCGATTGATCTTCCTAGGCTAACTGGTGGGGGATTTCCTCGTCTGGGGTTCCTGCGAGTAATTTCGTGTGAGGGAAGGGAGAGGAAGGGTTCTATCTGATTCCTAATCCCCTATTTATATATTTAAGGGAAACCTATTCAAGGTCTGAGTAATAAGGCCCGCTTCCCTATTCCCTATGGGTTTAAGGTTCCTGGTTCAGGTAAGGGTTCACGATTCATCGTGGACCACTCAGGTTAATTAAGGCAATTATAATTGGATTAAATCCCCTTTTAATTATTTTAGTTAGCAGAATTAATTTAATAATTTATTTGGATTTGAAGGTCGTAACACGGGGTGTTACAATACGGTTGAAAAAGAGCCAGAGATTGCACTAACTGTTGGAACTGAGGCTAATGAGGAAGTAAATCAAACTAAGAAAAGAAAGGTTAGCCGGCCAAGATCTGAGGTATGGGATCATTTTACTAAAATTAGTAATGACATATGTGAGCGAAAAGCTAGATGCAATTATTGTCTGAAAGAATTGCTTGCTGATCCTAAACTAAATGGCACTAGTTCACTAAAAGCCCATGTTAGAAGCTGTCCGAAAATTCCCCGTGCTAGTAGTGACCCTAGCCAAACTGAATTGATTGAAGGGGAAGGATCACTAGGTTGTGTGAAGTATAGTGCTGTGGCACTTAGAAAGATCATTGTTGAAATGATTATAAATCATGAAATCCCCTTCAAGTTTGTTGAATTTAAGAGTTTTTAAAAAATGCTTGTCTATTGCTTGTCCAAGGTTTAAGGTTCCATCTCGATGGACTATTGCTAGAGACTGTTATAGTATGTATTTGGGGGAGAAACAAAAGTTGTCTAAGTTAATCCATATGTCTTCACTTAGGGTATCACTTACCACTGACACTTGGACATCATTGCAAAGGGAAAATTATATGTGCCTTACTTGTCACTTTATTGACAATAATTGGAGCTTGCAAAAAAGAATAATTAATTTTTGTCCAATTAATAGTCATAAAGGTGAAGATATTGATAAGATGATTGAAAAATGTTTGCGTGATTGGACAATAGACAAAGTTTTCACAATTACCGTGGATAATGCTAGTTGAAATGATGTGGCTACTCAATACTTGAAAAAGAAATTGAACAATGTTAGTGGAACTATCTTAGAGGGCAAATTTATTCACATGAGATGTGTTGCACACATTACTAATTTGGTTGTCACAGACAGGTTAAAGGAAGTGAATGAATCAATTTCTTGTGTTAGATTCGCGGTGAAGTATGTGAGGCAATCACCGGCTAGATTGCATAGGTTTAAAGAATGTATAGAATTGGAAAAAATTCAATCTAAATCTTTGTTGAGCATGGATTGTAGCACTAGGTGGAATTCTACCTACTTGATGTTAGATGTGGCTCAAAAATTTGAAAGAGCATTTGAGAGATTTGAAGAGATTGACCACAATTATAAGCACGAGCTTGTGTTGAATGGTGGCACACCCAAGGAAGAGGATTAGGGAAATGTTAGGAAATTGAGCAAGTTTTTGCAACGTTTCTATGAATTCACATTGAAAGTTTCTGGAACTACATATGTGACTTGCAATGCTTACTTTCTTGAAATTTGTGAATTGTATTGTACTTTGTGTGATTGGATTAAGAGTGATGACGAACAGTTTAGAGCTATGACCAAAAGAATAAAGGAGAAATTTGACAAATATTGGGGGAATGTTGAGAGGATGAATATGATACTTTATGTTGCAACTGTTTTTGACCCTAGAAGGAAATGTGTTTGTTGATTTTTGTTTCAAGAGAATGTATTCACCTGATCAAGCTTCATTATTGTCTTCTAACCTTAAAGAAGTGACTAGTAAGTTGTTTGTTAAATACCATGGGTTGTTGAAAGTTTCACAAGGTGATGGTAGCAATTTTACTCAACCAACGAGTGCCACTAATGAGGATGGGTTGCATAGTCCACTAAACACTGTAACTGACTTTGAAAAGTATTTGGTTGAAATTGTACTTGGGCAGCAAAAAAACGAATTGGATAAATACATCAATGAAGAGCTTGATACTCAGATTGGTGGTGGTGAATTTGATATTCTCCGTTGGTGGAAAGAAAATGCTCATAGATTTCCCATTCTTTCATGCATGGTGTGACACCCCGAAAATCCTATCCTTTAAATAGGATTAATTGGATAATTAATCCTAAGTCATCCTTGTGGACTTTCTTATCAATTTCCCAAATTGATAGTCAGAGGACTTAAATTGACCAACTCTTTGGTCAATTGATTTAAGTAAAAAAGGGGGACCTTTAGCTTTGATGGTTGTACCTAACTCTTTGGGGTCTTCCTAAGCGAGAAAGTAAGGGCATTATGGTCTTTTTCCACTTGCTTGGTCTTGAAGCCTTACCCTATCAAGCCTAAATCTCATTTCCCCACTTTGGCAAGAAAACCTTTCTCTACCTTCTCTCTAAGAAAACTTGGCTTCTTCCCAAAGCCAAGAAGAATCTCCTCCATCCTTGCTAGGAATCATTCCAAGATTCCACCTTTCCATCTCCCAAGCTTAAGGAAGGGTAAGATCTAGGATTAGTTGGTGTTTTTAGTTAGCTTTACCTAGTCTTTATATAAGATTATTGTTTTTCTTGTGGTTTTGGTTGTGTTAGAAGATTTGGTTGAAGAGGAGCTTCAAGGAGAAGCTTAGGAGGAAAAATGGAGAAGTCTTTTAGTCTACAAAGGTAACCCATGCTATACAAAACCTATTTTCTGCTTGCTATTGATGATTCTTGACTTCTATTGATGATTCTTGATGTTGTGAGTGATTTGATGCATGATATTGTGATAATGCATGTTTAGAGCTTGTATCTACGCTTCTTAAATGCTATATTTTGATCTATTATTGTGTTTAAGTTATTTCCTTGTTGTATGTGAGATTTGGGGTGTTCTGGACTTGAACTTGTCATTGTTGTTGAAATTCCCCGAAGAGGAACTTTGATGTACAGGTATGTTCCCCGCGGGCGGTTGTCCACCCGCCGCCCCACCCGCGGGTGGAGGTGTGTACCCGGCAGGCAGAGTCGCGGGTAGGGACCCACCCGCGGTTCCACCTGCGGGGTACACAGGTGGATTGTGACGGTTGGTTGTTTCCCCGTGGTTCCACCCTTTGGTATGTGATGTTTTGGCCTCCCTTTGTTGGATTGTGGAGCTTTTGGGTGTCTCCTTGATGTTTCGTATGTCTAGAACGATGTCCTAAGTAGCTATGTTAGGATTTGGTGTCTTGAATCGTGCTAATAGTCCAACTTTGTGATTCGTTGGATTTATGTGAGTCTTTGAGGTTCGTTGGAACCATTTTGGTTTACCCTTTTGATGTGCATGCTAGTTCTAATGTCGTTGATGCTAGTATGTGTTGTTTGTCCATTCCCTTGAGGATTGGCAACTTATGTTGCCAATCATGTTGATATTGGATTGAAGTACATTGTTGTTGTTGAGTATTGTTTCATGTCTATCATTGAAACCTCTTGATTGATTTCTATGATGTGGTCTTGTACATTTGTTGTACCCGTTGTTGATACTTGATTGGGCTATTGATGAGCCTCAATCCTCTTGATGATGACTATGTGTGACTATGAATGAGATTGGTGGTATTGTGACTTGAGCTTTGCTCATGAGATCGGCGGTATGTGACTATGATATTTAATGGTACCCTCGTGTACTGAGAGTTCGACAGTATTGTTTGGCGGCAGTTTGGCTGGGGACGACAATCTCAGGCGGAATAAGGTTGGACTTAGAAGTACAGGGTGGCACTAGGAGGTAATGGTGGGAACTGAAATAAGGTCGGGGGTAGCCATAAGGTTGGAATAGGGCATAAGGTTGGAACTTGATATTTGTCATTGTGTGATTTATCGTATTCATTGCTTATGAGCATGTCTATCGGGAATTCTACCTTGATTATGGTAGGTTGTGTCTATTGTTGAGTATGTTGTTTGTTGTCCTTATTGACTTGTGGATTGTTGTTGATGGTTGGTCTTTGTTCAGAGTGTTATGTTGAGTCTCTTGATGTTCCCTCTCTTGGTTTTAAAATGATGTATACTGTATTCCTTTGTCTCAAATGGTTTTATAATATCTATATATTATGTACTTAACGCGTATTGGTGGGTTACCAGCATCTTTCGCTGACGGGTGTTATCCCTATGTTTTTACAGGTTATGAGTAGCTTTTGGAGAGCGCGCTAGTGGACCGTTAGATAGTGTAGCTCTTCTTGTTTTCCCTTGTTTAGACTTATGGCCTGTGTGCCTTTTTCCCTATGACTTTGTTGTTGACTTTTGGGTTAGACTTAGCCTGTGCACCTATGTTGAGATAGGTGTGGCATAGCACCTCCGTATTTAGTCTTTGCTTCCGCTTTATCTTAATGGATGATTAGCTTGTTCTTCCTTTAATTTAAGCTTTTAAATTTTGGTAAAATCGGGGGTGTTATACATAGCTCGTGATGTATTGGCAGTTCCTATATCAACTGTCGCATTTGAATCTGCATTTAGCACCAGTGGACGTGTGCTTGATACGTATAGGAGTTCATTAACTCATAAAATTGTACAAGCTCTTGTGTGCACTCAAGATTGGTTACGAGAAGAAAACGTCATTTCAATGACTGATTTAGTTGAGCATGATGTTGGAGAGATGTATAAACTTGACGTGGGTGAGTATCAAAATCATTACTTTATTTTAAATATTATAATTTTCTTATTGTTCTTTCTTTATTTAATGTTTGTATTTATATATGATTTAGATATGTCAAAGATGAGTTTGGATCCTGTGATTGATTATAAAAACAAGATGCAAGAAGAATATAATTGATTGTGTAAGTTAATACTGTATGTTTATGTTTATTTATTATGTATTAATTATAATATTCATATATCATATACTCACTTTTTATTATCTTTTGGATGCAAGTAAGCAGGTCTTGATGAACTCTGGCTGTTTGAATTTGGAAACATGTTGATGACTTGGGCATGAAATCCATGGATTGTAGTTGATGTCTTGAATCTTGATGAACTTTGGCTATTGGGAATTTGGAAACTGAATTTGTTTGCACTTTGGTTTTTTTTTTTTTTTTTTTTTTTTTTTTTTTTTTTTTTTTCCTTTTTGAAATTGGATGAATGTGTTATGCAGATTGGCAGTGTTGGAAGTATGAAGACTATGAACTTTATTTTTATTGGTGCATATATGCCTATATGGCATTATGGATTTATGGCTACTGTTTAGTGTTTAAGTCTTAAACATTTTGGTTATTTTTATTGATGCATAAATTATGGGGATATGCTCAGTTGAATTATGCAGCATAATGATGTATGTTTTGTTATTTTTATATACAGTGAAACTTATTGTCAAAAATATATTTATATACAATGAAACTAAGGCAATCTCACGGTATTTCGGTTACCGCAATAACCGACAATCGGTTTCAGTCGGTTATAGGTATATGGTCGGTCGGTTACGGTCGGTTATGGAGAGTTAAAAAGTATGATCGGTTATTCGGTTATCGGTCGGTTATTGACCGTAACCGACTGATGCTCACCCCTAACTTAGTCGGTGCCTAGGCAGCCTAGTCGGGAGCTTAGGCGGCCAACCGCCTAGACCACTGATTATGGTGGTACGCTAGGTGGCCTGCCAGCGCCTAGGCGCCGATTAATCGGTGCCTAGACAAGATTTTTGCAAAACTGATTACTAATAGTAAAGGTGTGCGTTTTGCGGGCAATGTTGTGCATTTTGTGTTAGTATGACAGTGGTCAATTTGTGGGGTTTAGGGTATAGGATTTAGGGGTTTAGGGCTTAGGGATTTAGGGGTTAAGGTTTAAGGTTTAGGGGTTTATGGTGTGCACTTACAAAATGTTGTACACCAAATTATGCATTGTTGCACCATCCTTTACCTAACATTTGAGCCAAAAGCAAGCATAAATGAACACAAATATAAGGCTATTTCATGACATATCAAATCTCCCCACACATAGACCTTGCCTGTCCTCAAGCAAGACAAAATTCAAGAAATCACAAATAGAAATACCAAATATACTCATCATAATTCTACGAGATCTGTACGTTCTTTTGAAGTCTGTGCAATGGTTACCCGAATCCTACGAGATGGCTTACTTCATGTTTTTCCCTCTCAAGTAAGGATAACTTAAAGTCTTTTTTAGATTTTTCCATTGACCATTTTTTCATCACCTCATGCCTTTTTCATTGGGGGTAGGGAATCACACAACTCACTAAAAGAAAAAAATATCTCACCTTTTGTCTTATGCCACACCGAGAAAGTTCATTCTGGGTCTTACCACCTTACATTCCACAAACCATCTCGTATACACTTCCATTTCGAGAGATCATTGACCTTTGTCCATAGAAGTGGTGGATTGAACCTCAAACAAGCATGCAAAATAAATATAAATCTTCCAACATTGTCAAGATCTTGTTCCTCATTTCTTCATTGCTTTCCCCTCATATGCTTGCATTATGTACTCCTCATCCTCATAGTGGTTAGTTGGAGTAGTGTGGGTAGTCTTGATGATCTTGACAATATACAGGGTATTGGATGTCTTGGAAGTAAGGTTCTTGAGGGTAGGCTTGTGGTGAGTAAGGATTATAAGGTGGGTCATTAAGGTATCCTTTTTGGGGAAAGTATTCCTCTTCATCCTCACATTGATTGGAGTAGTATTGTTGAGATGTGTAGCTTCCTCTTGGTGGTGGAGAGTCTTGTTGGTTAGAATTTCTTCTCATTTCTTCCCGATATTCATAGGCATAATCTTCTTGATCATGTCCTTGGCAACGATGCCATTTTGATAGTTGTAGTATGCGTGGGATGGAAAGAAAGTTTGGGAAAGGTGAAACTTCCCCGGGATGTCGTTCTCTAAGGATGGGTAATGGGAATTAAATAATGCGCGGCTAAGCACAAGTGCGTAAGAGCCGTAGAAAGCTAGGTGTCAAGAGCATTATCAAAGTAATAAGTAAAGTAAAGCAACAAGTAATTGTAAGGAAGCAACTAAGTGAATGGAGGGGACTAGGACTATGTGTTCATTGATTGGGTACAACAGAATGGCCCTAAGTATAGGAAGTAGTATAATGCATTGATCATGATTCTTGGAAGATGTTTCCATTTCCAAGCCACTCTCGCGGTCTAATTGGCCTATCAAGTAGTAAAATCGTACTCTCATAGCAACCTTACTACACCTTTTTCCGAGCTCTACCTCTTGGTGCAAGGTGCGAAATGCAAGTGGATTAGGCTATAGTGTAGTCCCAATCTCTTGGCAACTACACATCCCCAATACCTATTCCATGATGTGGCCATCACCAAACAATAGTCTATACGAAGTTCACTTCCAATAAGGATCAAATCAATACATCAAGTCACTTCCTAATTGCAATCAAACCATTCTAGCATCATATCAAGTAAACCTAATCCTAATTCCCTAAGAATTAGCTCAACATTGTCACAATTGAATAACCAAGATCAAGAATCAATGGAAGCATTAAAAAGGAAAAGTAAATTTCAATTGAAATGACACTTAGCTTTGATCATGGAAATTGAAGATTGAAAAGCAATTACAAGTTGAATTCTTCCTCTAGATCTTCAATGATGTTGATGGATTACAATCTATAAGTGTTTGGGAGAGTTTCTATGGAAGAAGACATAGAGGGAGGAACTCCAGGAACCAAAGATGAGTCAAAACAACCAATCCAAGCAATATAAAGTCGAAGTTTGCCCCAAAATGACCATCTCAGGTTCGCTACAGGACCTGTGGTCACGCTGGGGTTCACAGTGTAAGTTCCACCGTGACTTTGCAGCATAGTTCGCAGGTTCTAGAGGTCACGGTCAAGTTCACGCCGTGACCTTGACCGTGACCACCCACTCTGCATAGAAGCTCTGGTTTCTAGGCCATTTTTCACCTTGTAGACGTTCGAACTAGTCTTCATGGTTTTCATGAAACTTGTAGCTCTTTGAGTTTCCATTCTAATGCCACTTGAATCACTTTATTTGGACACTCCTAACTTGAGAAAAAAATTACAAAGCAGAATGGTGTCACGCTGGCAGTCACGACGTGACCACCAACGTGACCCATGTTCTTCACTTTAAAATGCATATTTCTTCATCTCCTTTGTTCCTTTGGGTCCCCGAGTCATGTCATGATACTTTCACTTGCTCTTTTTTCGTTTTCTTGACCTCTCATGACTCTAAGAACTTGCCTTTGTGTCAAGATGACTTCAAAACACATTCAATTGAGCTCCAATTTACATGAAGTTAATACCAATGCCTCCAAATCACCTAAATGACACAATGAAATCAAATAATCACATACTAAGCTTCTAATTAACTTGAAATCATATGAGTTTGATATCAATTGTGCACATAAAAGTACTAAAAATTAGCACTTATCACCTGTCGGCTGGGTTGGCCGAGTTCAGCCCCTGCTCGATTCGAGAGGTGGCGTTGTGCTTACCATGCAGGGATGTGGTTATATGGTTAATGTCCACCCACTTATCACCAATTGATTTTAAGTAGGATATGACAACTATATAGCCATTATGGTCATTGTTGTAGTTATAGTGCATTAAACTGTCATTAATATTAGTGATTAAAAATAGTTGTGTTTTCATCAATATTGTTAGAGAAGAAACAAGTTGGAAAGCGTAGCGTGGAAGGAATGCTTGTTTTTTTATTTTATTTTATTTTTTTTTATTTTTATTTTTTTATTGCGGTTGGATGCTTCTAGATCCTTTGCCATATATTTCCTATTATATTATACTAATAATATCCTTAATTTAAGCAAATTGATCCGTAGATCATACACGTATATCTCTTGATTTTAATGGTTTAGATTAGACTCACTAAAGGTATGGTTCTCATGGGAGTCAGACCTTATATATATAAACACACACACACACACACACACACACACACACATATAGTGATGATCCTATGAAAACTACCCTCCCCATGAGTACATGAGAACCAATATGGTGCATTAAAAAAAAACGGATCTATAGATGAGATTAATAGGGAAATTCAACATTCGCATGTGCATATGGAGCATTGTGTGGACCATGGTCCACACAATAATGATTGTTAGATAGCTAAAAAACTCTTTGTGTGCACTCATGCTTGTTCGCACATTCTCACCCTCTTATTTGAACACAAGCCCCCCCCCCCCCCTCTCTCTCTATATATATATATATATATATATATATATATATATATATATATATATATATATATATATAGTAGAGTTCAGGTGTAGTCGCACTTTCCCGTTCAGCCCCACCAATAGTTATGCAAATATGCACCAACAATGTTAGAAAATACACAACAAAAAATGCACAAATTAGGCACGCATCAGCAAAAATGCACCATTAGGTATGAATAAAAGTACCACACAATTTTCGAAAATGCATAATTAGGGGGTGGAGAGTTATGGTGCATTATTTTGGGTGTGTTGTGCGTTTTTTTGGTGTATTTTATGCATTTCATTATTGTGCATTTTCCTAACACTGTTGGTGTATTTTTCAAGCTGCCGCACTGATCACACGATATGTATATATATATATATATATATATATATATATATATATATATATATATATATATATATATATATATATATATAGAGAGAGAGAGAGAGAGAGAGAGAGAGAGAGAGAGAGAGTTATATTCATGTAAAAGCATATCTTAAAATACATACATGTGGATGTATATGAATCGTTCAATTTTAGGAATCTATGGATAAGATTTGGTGATACAGATTTTGGGGTTTTAATTTAATTCATTCTCGCATATGTTTTTTTTATCAGGTTTTTATTTTTACTGGGGGCATTTGTAGGTTTTAAGTTTATTTACTCTTTTTGATAACTTGTATTTTCTTTATTATCTTTAGCTATGTATAATTTAGCCATGTGTGGCTAAATTCCATTAGGGATTCTTGGGTAAAAAGTGTTTATGAACCTATGTGCCTGTGCTCTCAGATTCTTTAATATATTATTATTTGAATTTTAAATTTGTGTTACAATTGTATTTATTATTGTCGTTGCGAGTAGTTCAGGGCCCGGATTACTTGTTTTATTGCTTCCTTTATGTCATAACGGGAGTTAGGCATAATGAGAGTTGACACAATTACACTTAACTTTTGCACCTTGAAAAAAGGTAAAATGGATAAGTTCGGATCCCAAAAGACTTGACGCGTCGAGTCTGGGACTCGACGCATCGAAAACAGACAGTAGCTTTTTGGTTCGTGCTCAGGGAATTCGACGCGTCGAAATGAGCGGCATAAATTATAGAAATGGCACTGACTTACAAGAAATAGGGGTGCGGCAAAATTTCTAATCTAAAGCAAAAGGGAGCTGAATTTCTAAAAGGTGGCACTTTCCATTTGAAATTAAAGTTAGCAAATTTCCAAAGAAAGAGAAAGACGGCAATTTCCCAAAAAAAGAATAAAATTCCGATATCGCCCCGGTTTGACTCCCGCTATAAAATCCCACCTTCGTCAAGACGTCAACCCTAATATTATTTAGAGATCTTTGGAGACAAGAAAGACAGAAATCAAAAGCCACAAGTTGTTTTGGGAAGCAAGAAGAAAGCTAGGGAGATTTGGGAAAATTTCCTGGTTCAATCTTCTACTCTTTTTGATAACTTGTATTTTCTTTATTATCTTTAGCTATGTATAATTTAGCCATGTGTGGCTAAATTCCATTAGGGATTCTTGGGTAAAAAGTGTTTAGAAACCTATGTGCCTGTGCTCTCAGATTCTTTAATATATTATTATTTGAGTTTTAAATTTGTGTTGCAATTGTGTTTATTATTGTCGTTGCGAGTAGTTTAGGGCTCGGATTACTTGTTTCATTGCTTTGTTTATGTCATAAAGGGAGTTAGGCATAATTGAGAGTTCACACAATTGCACTTAACTTTTGCACCTTGGAAAATGGCATATTTGTTAGGGAGTTTAATTCTTGATTATTGCACATTGGGAGATGGTAGTGGTTATGGGATTATTTATGAATGTTTGTTCTTGTTCTTATTGAGTGTTTATACCACGGGAGTGGATATTCATTAGTGTTAGTGACTACGGGAGTAGCTCTATACCACCTTACATCCTCACACTCGTTTAAACCCAGATTTAATATTACATTAGGTTAGGCACTGGGGGATTAAACACTTGAATCCCAGGAATCTCAATCTCTCTCTATTGTTTTCATTACCCTGAATCATTGCTTTACTTTATTTAATTATTTGCTCTCTTCCATCAAAATCATTAGGATTAGCTTCTCGTGAATAAATTAGTAATTGGTGGTTAATACTGCACTTCCCTGTGGATCGATAACCTGATACTCCAGGTATTTATTTGGTTCAAAATATACTACAATCGCTTCACTACTTTGGTATTTAGTCAGTTTAGGGTTTTGCCTTCGGTTTTTTTCCTGGTGTTTTCTGTCCATTCTGGTGACCGGCAGCAGGTCGAGTTTGCGCCTGTGGCGGGGTCTTATCTTGGTTAGCGCCGGCAGCAGGTCAAGTTTGTTTGGAATTCGACGGTAGTATACTTTGTTCTTTTTTCTTTTGGGAACTGTGTGCAATGCTACTTGGGTTTTACATATATACACACTCTGTATTAGTTTTTCTAAATTAATTGACTCTTGAAGTTTGCAGTCTGCTTCATTTATATATTATTGCTATTTTGTTTTGACTAATTATGTGTGTGTGTGTGTGTATGTGTGTGTGTGTGTATATATATATATATATATATATATATATATATATATATATATATATATATATATATATATATATAGAGGGTTACATTCACATGCAAAGCCTCTTAAAATACAAAACTGTGGACAAATAAGGACCATAAGATTATATTAGATTAATGGCTTGGATTAAATGAGAAAAAATACATAGCTGGAACGTTATATATGATAATAAGGGCATTTAAGAGAATTGCAGGTTTCCTAATTATGGTAGGAAGGAAATTCTAATTTTTTTTATACCTAAATTAAAGGGGAGTGATTACACTAGGATTACACAAGATCAACAACATGCAAACCCCCATACCCCCACGGCATTCTACCCCTACGGCAACCAGAGAAGATACACAACTTTCCGGCGAAGCAACAACGCAAAAACACATTGACGCCAGCATGGAGAATTCATCGCGATTAATACCAGGTAATCATCCCACTTCATTATGATAGTGTACGGACAACATGTGATGAATCATAGTAATGTATGTGCATCTGTATACATATGAGTGTGGGTTATTATTGGGTGAATTGGGGAATAATGAATTACTAGACATGTATGCGTTGAAGATCACTTGAAAATCCTAATACCCAGAAAAGGGATGAACACTGTGTTGTGAGACGGAAAACACACCAGCGCCCAAGCGCGCACACCAGTAGACACCATGACGCACACACTTCAGACCGCAATCGAACCGAAATAAACGGCCAAACAGATTATAGTATCGAAAAACCATATTAAATGGAAAACCAATGACAACTTTGTTTTGTTAAGGAACCATGCATCTTTGTTTTGTTAAAGAACCATGCAAACAGATTAGGGCAAACAATTTGTTGTATGAACGAAGAAATAAAGTGATGCACACACACGACGATACCCATGCACGTAGTATAACTCTAGCGTACTCACATTAGAAACACCCAATAAATGTGATAAACAACACAACCACGTAGGGCAGTGGATTGTCGTAGAATAATTTAATTAGCACCCCGTGCACAGAGTACCAGTCCAGCACGCACACATTTATATGCCACCATACGGGTGCAAAACAACAAACGACCACACTAAAAAAAAATCATGTTACTGCACAGCATTTAGGATTGGATCACACCTCTAACATGTATTCTTTATGTGTTAAATAGGTGAAGAACACTGTGACGACAATGTAACACAATGTGAAATGGAAATAGGAGACGATGGTGCGAAATCCTGGAGTCGCAAAAAACAAAGGAAGTGAGAAGAGACTCAAAAGCAACAAAGAGAAAGCCACCACAAAGAAACAACAGAAAAAAAAGGACATGCAATATATGCGACCTCCCAGGCCACAACAGTCGCACCTGTCCAGACAAACTTGCATCAAACGAAGTTTAGAATAAGTTTATTCCAAAATTAGTGAACAATGTCATTTAGATTTCAATTATGACCGTATTTGATTATTTTATATCAAGTAAACTCTTTATTAATAACACTATGTTTAATAAAAAAAATTAGACCATACCACACACACACAGTACCATATATACATGCACACAGAGTCACCTAGCAGAGCCGACACTACTGACACATGGTTTAAAAAAATAAACAGCGACTAACCCACGCACAAAGGAAAACACGTATGCGCACGCATCGTGGAGTATAAAAACCCAGTTCAACACCTGCGCACAAATAAAACACAGACGTGCACACACACTGGACACTAACACCATAGCAATGAACGTGAACATGTGCCCCAAATTCATGAAAAAGCGTAATAACACACCGCATCAGACGAACTTCAAAGTAAGTTCATTCTCCAACCAGTGAACAATTCCATTTAGCTTAATTTTAGCCACCATTTAGGTTAATTTTAGCCACCGTAATTGATTACCAATATGAAGCAACCGTTTTCGTAATAACAATAGGTGAATCGAATATAATGAGTACATACAACGCGCACACTGAACAATATATACGGGCACACACAGCCACACCCTCAGCACTGAAACCTGGTGTGTTAAAATCGTACACCAACTAACCAAAGACACAGCGAAACACGTGTGCGCATCCACTACGGAGGACAAAACCGTAGTGTAAAATCGGTGCACACAATAGAACACAGTGGTGCACACACGCTCGACCCTAACACAACAGCAATGGCCATGAGGATGGGTCCGAAATTCCTGACCACGAGTAACTAAATATATATTCGCACCGACGCACGCAACAACACACATGGATGCACACAGCAATAAAATATATATTCCCACAAATATAGACTTTACAAACTACCACAACACTCACAACAACCATACCGAATCTACAAATAAGAGCTAGCATAAATTAAAGGCAGCGTTTGCACCGCTATAAAATCATAAAAAAATAATATGGCCACAACATGATGCACGCATAACTAAACGCAAGGGATGCCACATGTTTATACATGCCAAAAACTAAAAGTGACCACAATTTGCATTTCTTGTGTGCATCTCACACAAAAATAAAAAAACAACAAACTAAATAACAAATATGACTACACGGCCGAAGGAGGGACCGATATCGATTGATACGCACGAGAAAAGTTAGCCGAGCGATGCATATTATGCTCTCAAAGGACGAGCATACCGCACCACCTGGAGCTTCTTACCTGGAAAATAGAACAACAACACCACCCACTTATATTAGCTCATAACCAGACACACACAAACATGAGACCACAACGCACCCACTCAACCATTACTACGCACACAGTCCAAAATAAACAAGACCAGACAATTATAATTTTAATAAAAAATAATGAAACATGCCTACTGGATTTGCAAAATTAAACTAATAATTAAAACTAACTACTTAAATATTAAACAAAATAAATTAAAATAAACTACAAAATATAAACTACAGCAACCCCACCACCCCACAGTCCCCCGCCACAGCAAACCCACCCACCCCCACAACCCCAATGCATTTCAACAACCCATGTGAAAACAAAGCAGAGAAAGACAAAGAACACATGTTTAATATAACAGTACCGCGCAAATACCCTAGAAATCATCAACTATGGAGGTATTGTGGATGATTCATCGCACAATGTGAGCATCAAAAAAAGCAAAAAATTGATGAAAACAACATTATCTATGCATCACAACACAACTCTATTGGCAATTACTACATCTAATAGAGGCACAAAAAATTCCAAATAAAAAGCCTTAACTTTGCCAAACCGGCAATTAGACTGCCACCACCCCACAACCCCATATGATGCTACCAAACACGCAACCCAACACCAAACAACACAAAAAACGCCCAAAACACCACAACTGACCAAAAAAAAAATTGAGAACGTACCTCCACCGACAGCTTCGACCGGTGGTCCCCTCCTCTTCAGTGAAGCGCAGTCCCCACCCACTACCATGGCTACGTGAAACTGAAAACTGATTGACGAAGGAGCGAAGAAGACGTGACTCACGGAAGATTCCACCGCACGGAGAGAGAGAGCGACACAGACAGACGAGAAGACAGAACCGTGCGCCTGAATGTGGACACAACTGAAGATAACGTAATGTAGTTTGACTAGGTTACAACAATAAGCAAAATACCAAAAAGACCCCCCCTTATCATAAAAAACAACTGAAGTTAACGTAAAAACTCATGAGCCACACACTAGCATCAAAACCGTCCGATCAAACCATCCAACGGCCCAAACATGTCCACAGATTTGTATTTTAAGAAGTGTTTTTACTTGAATGTAATTCTATATATATATATATATATATATATATATATATATATATATATATATATATATATATATATATATATATATATATATATATGCTTCACATATGTTATGTAATTTTGACTACATGTTTAAAAAAAAATTGTGTGTATAAATATATGATTTTTAAGTGTGGAGACCATATAGGAGTGCTTGCTAAGAAGAGAGAAATGGTGAAGCCAAATCTGCAATGGAATGGACTAGAGTTTGTTGCTGCAATGCGTTGAACGGATTGCCTATATTCTACGTACTAAGTTGTTTTTTTGGTGTTCAAATGTTGTTTTTAGCAAAACTAGATTGTTACAATAACATATTCCCTTGGAATTGGGGTGTAAATGTGTAATGCTCCATCTGCAAATGTTGTTTTTAGCAAAACTAGATTGTTACAATAACTCTTTCAACTATTTTTTGTAATTTCGTTTACATAAATTGTAGTTAAAATTGGGAATTTTCAGGCTTGAGATTAGACCTTCTGCATAAAAAGTAATACAATGTTGCATGGGTATGGGTAGATGTGTGCACTTATAGTATTATATTTGTGCACTCATGGCATGTGTATGTAATAGGTGTGTGCATGAATTGTTAGTAGTGTGTGCATTACAGTATTACAATGTCCAATGCTCTGCTGGGGTTGTTCTGTTTTAAAATTGGGTGGGATGTTGTTGATATCTTTTGTCTTATGTGATTGTTGTAGGTAAGAGGTCGAAGGTACCGCAGCGTGAACCTGGTGCCTCACAGAGTTATGTTAGCGATGATGATCTTGACTTTGTTTCTCCACCTTTGGCCTACCTTCAAAGGCCGTAGGATGGCACCTTTTAGACGGCTTTTATTATTATTATTATTATTATTATTATTATTATTATTATTATTATTATTATTATTATTATTATTATTATTATTATTATTATTTATTTATTTTTTATTTTTTTATTTATTTTATTTTATTTTTTATTTTTTTATTTTGGATTAGAGAGGAGGGGGAAACCCAACACAAACTACATACTATCAACTCCTACTTGATTTCGCTGAGACAATCGTCTCATTGATGAAGCTCCAACTCTATCAAGCGAGACCAATTCCTCCAACTCCTGCGGCGGTGACTCTAGGATGCGTAGACCACCTCTATACAACACCGCCATAGACGCCAACTTATCCACGAGCTTGTTCTGTTCTCTGTAAACATGCTCGTACCTCACTTCCATGAAATCCGTCGCTTCTCTAATACACATCCAGCCAATATTATGAGAATGATTTTGCCATCCCTCACCCTTCCAAAAAGTGTCCACTATAGCCTTTGAGTCGCACTCGATGATGGTCCTCCTCGCTCCATACTATTTCGCCATTCGTAACCCATGCAATATACCCCAAGCCTCCTCCGCCTCAGCCGAACACCTACCAATTCTGTACATGAAACCCCTTCGCCAATCCCCATTGTCATCCCGTAGAACACCCCCACACCCTGCTAGTCCATGTTGCTTACAACTCCTGTCGACATTAAGCTTCAACCACCCCGCATCCGGTTTTACCCAGGTTAGCTTAGCGTCTTCTGGCCACTCGCTTCTTCGCAACGGCCACCTTCTCCCATCAAAGGCCTTGTTGACCTCATTATCATATTTACGCAGCCAGTCTATCTTATGCTCAATGGGCATGGATTTGTCATTAAAAACCTGTTCGTTCCGCCACTTCCACAGCCACTAAAGTCTAGTCTGGCCAGCCTTCCTCGAAACCTTTCCTTCCGTCCCCCTGTAGGTTCACCGTGAACCACTCCACCCAATCGAGGCTCCTCAGAGCCTCCACCGTCTGCCAGTGTAATGACAGATCCCATATTTGTCTTGCTGCAATGAAACTTCTGAACAGATGGTTAAGGTCCTCACGCTGACCTGTACAGAGAAAACAACACTCGTTAGACGTGAGATGTCACCTGGCACGCTCATGGTTAGTAAGAACCTTCGCATGCTTCACAAGACAAAGAAACACAACAATTCTGGCCAGTACTTTCAAAGCCCAAATAATCTCCCAGACGTTGTCATCACCGTTTCCTTTGGGTGTATCGATCAAACCATAAGCTGACTTCACCGAAAACTGCCTGCGTGGATCCGGACCCCAGCCCCACTCGTCCTGCACGCCTGGCTGCCGTTCTAAATCTTCTTGTGGAAGAAACTACTGAATATGTTCCCATTTCTAGCCCCTATCATGATCCCAATAATCTTCCACAAACGCATAGAGGTTGGGGAGGCTTAAGGGACCAAGCAGCTTCTCTCATAAGGGCCTCGGTGATAGCCAGGGATCCATCCAAAAGCGTGTAAGCCTACCATCCCGAACGATGTGCGTAAGGCCCCTCTCTAGAACCTCATTTGTCCCACTGATGCTTCTCCAAACGTTAGAAATTTTCCTTCCGCAAGAGGTGTCCACGTGAAAGCCTAAACTGTAGTTGTACTTTGTGTTCAATGTCCGGGCCCACAACGCCGCTTTGTTCCGTTTTTAATATCCAGCAGAGCTTTGTCATACACGCAGTATTCATAGCTTGCATTTTCCTCAGCCCCAGGCCTCCATAATCTTTTCTGGTTGTGACCACGTCACAGTTAACAAGGCTCAGTTTTTGACCCCCTTGTCCTATCATTCCGACCCCATATAAAACGCCTGGTTCTCCTTTCTATTTCGTCACAAATTCCCTTCGGAAGCGCTGCCGTTTGCATAGTATACACTAGGATGGCGTTCAGAACAGACTTTGCTAGGGTAACTCTCCCAGCTAGAGACAGAGTCTTAGCTTTCCACCCCTCTAATCTGGCCGATATTCGTTCCAAAAGGCCCGAGTAGGTGTTACGCGTTACCCGGTCATGAATGGAAGGCACGCCTAGGTATCTTCCCAAGTCTTTAGTCTCAGCTATGCCCAACTTGGCGGCAATCTCCTTCGCGAGCTCTGGCGGTGTGTTCTTCGAGAAATGGACTTGTGATTTGGCTAGGCTGATTTTCTGCCCCGACGCTCTGCAAAACGAGTTCAGGCACTCCTGGACAATATCCACTTGCTCACTTGAAGCCTCGGTGAACAGCACCATATCATATGCAAAACAAAGATGAGACAAAACTGGCCCCATAGGAGCCAACTTAATACCTTTCCATTTATTTTTTTCCACTGCGGTTACAATAAGGTGACTGGGCCGCTCCATACACAAAACGAAAATAGCCTGGGACATTGCATCACCTTGGCGTATTCCTCTCGCTGGTCTAAAATACTCCAGTCTTTCCCCATTCCAGATGACTGCTAACTTGGACAAAGAAATGCAAGTCATAATAATGTTAGTCCAAGTATCATTAAAACCTGCCCTTACCAGAGTGTCTCTGATGAAAGCCCAAGATAGCCTGTCATACGCCTTCTCGAGGTCCAATTTAATAGTCATATAGCCCTTTTTTCCCTCGATTCTCTCTCATGGTGTGCAAAACTTCTTGGTACACAATCACATTGTCCGAGATCTGCCGTCCCAGGACAAACGAACTTTGATACGACCCTACCACCTGAGGAAGAATGCGTTTTAGTCTGTTTGTGATGGTCTTGGTCAAAATTTTGTAACTCACATTGCACAAACTAATGGGCCTAAATTGTTTGATCGTGTCAGGAGCCCCAACTTTTGGTATAAGAGCGACAAGGGTATCATTTAAACCTTCTGGGAGTCTGCCGGTACGAACTGCCTCACTGACCATATTATAGATGCTATCCCTAGTTACCGCCTACGTGTGTTGGTAGAAACCCGCTAGGAGGCCATCCGGGCCCGGGGCCTTGAAAGGCTTCATGCCAAAAACAGCCTCATGGACCTCGTCTTTAGACACATCCCTATTGAACATCCTCTAATCCATATGGATAATGGTCGGGAAACTTGCGCCTATATTCGAGCCATCCACCACCACCGTTGACTCAGTGAACAAATTGACATAGAAATTCCTGACGTGATCCCGTAGCTTAATGCCCTCCGGTATCCACGTCCCAGTATCGTTTGTAAGCCCCGGAATTCTAGCCCGCGATTTTCGTACCGTAGCAGCAGCATGGTAATACGCAGTGTTCCTGTCCCCCGACTTTATCCATTCGTCCCTAGACCTCTGGAACCACAACAGCTCCTCTTGATACAAGGTGTCCTCTAAGTTCGATTGCAGCTTCTTCTCCAATTTGCGTAGCCCACTGTGGTAGCTTCTGGCTAAAATCTTTTGGATACCGCCGATCCTAGCCATCAGAATTCGCTTTCGTTTGTTATTGTTATTGTTATTGTTATTGTTATTGTTATTGTTATTGTTATTGTTATTGTTATTGTTATTGTTATTGTTATAGTTATTGTTATTGTTATTGTTATTGTCATTGTCATTGTCATTGTTATTGTTATTGTTATTGTTATTGTTATTGTTATTGTTATTGTTATTGTTATTGTTATTGTTATTGTTATTGTTATTGTTATTGTTATTGTTATTGTTATTATTATTATTATTATTATTATTATTATTATTATTATTATTATCCCTCACAATTGGCACCTTTTAAATGTCCATTCTACTTTACAATTTCAATTAGTTGCTTTCCACTCGGCATGCACATACGTGTATGACTGGTTGCACATTTTGTGCATTCAAACAACGAAAACGACGCATAACCGTTTAGTAAGAAATTAATTTAGTCTACAATATCTAGGCATGCACCCACTTAAACACAGGTACACACACGAGGAAAACTCTTATGTAACTGTGTTCACACATGCTGTTATCTTTGTGCACTAGTACATACTTAATTGAATTAATCTTAAGTGTTCGGTTAAGGCTGCATACACCTTCATAAGTGTGTGCATTCCATTAATAAACATTCTTCCTTTGCACATGGGGCACCTGCATCCTTCTTTTGATTGCAAAATGCACACATGTCAACTAATCATAATGTAAATAATTTGCAACATCACAACTAGGTCCACTGTAAATAGTTTTGAACTCAATCTACGTTGAAAACAAAATAGTTTTTTCCAAACAAATTATAACCACTACGATGGGACCCATCATGTTTTTCGCACTACATTTATACATGTACACAGTTATTTGTGTGTGTGCACACGGTTTTACCTGGGTTTAGACCTGTGCATCATCACATCTACGTGTGTGCACGTTTAGTCCCAATGATGTGGTTCTACCCTTTGCCCTACGTTTGTTCTCTTGCTTAACCGTGTTCTCACCCTTTCCCTTTTTATGTATGCACTGCCCCTTTTATATTCTATGTCATGAGGAAGAGAGAGAATTTCAGTTGTATTGATTATCTAATTGTACAACCAATAATACAATCCTAGAGTAGTCAGGTAACGTAACTCACTCCTATACAATAGGTTAGCTAAGTCAGACTAATCTACTACCACATAAAACATTAACCACATATTATCACTAAGACACCCCCTCAAGCACAAGGTTGGAGGGCGACAACATTGAGCTTGTCTCTAAGAATCCCAAAACGTGGAGCCGGCAAAGGCTTTGTGAAGATATTTGCTAGTTGATCCTTAGTAGATACAAAATTAACCAAGAAATCCCCGGAGGCAACCTTATCCCGGATGAAGTGATAATCTATTTCCACATGTTTGGTTCTGGCGTGGAACACAGGATTGACACACAAGTATATGGCGCCAAGATTATCACACAAGAGAGTAGCTGGCTGACCTGAGTGGAGCCCAAGCTCACGTAACAGCGAGAAAACCCAAGTGACCTCGGCTGAGACATCTGCGAGGCCCTTGTATTCAGCTTCAGTTGAAGAGCGAGCAGTTGTCCGCTGCTTGCGGGAAACCCAAGAGATTAGATTGGACTCGATAAAGACTGCGTACCCACTAGTGGATTTCCGATCAACTGGACAACCGGCCCAGTCCGAATATGAAAAGGCATGGATATCTGCGGATGGAGAAGCTGACAAGCGTAAGCCATAGTCAAGTGTGCCCTTGACGTAATGTAAAACACGCTTAAGGAGGCCCCAGTTCTCATCGGTAGGCGTGTGCATAAATTGGCACAACCGATTCACCGAGTAAGAGAGATCTGGTCGAGTGATTGTCTAATAGTGTAACGCGCCCACTAGACGGCAATACTGAGTGGGGTTATCAAAAGGCTCTCTCGAAGGAGTCACAACTTGAGTCACAGCTGCTGGAGTTGCTAACGGTTTGCAATCTGACATGCCTGCCCGCTTTAGAAGATCACCCATATAACGGCGCCGAGACAAAAGAAAACTCTCGGATACCTTTATAGTTTCAATGCCAAGAAAGAAGCTTGGTGTACCTAAGTCCCGTATCTTGAACGTAGAGGAAAGTCGGTGGAGAAGCGTATCAATTAAGGAGGAGTCATTACCCATCACAATGATGTCATCGATGTACACCAAGAGAAAGATGCGGGATGTGCCAACTGTGTAGTGGAAAAGAGCACATCAGTCTTGGAAGCAGAAAACCTTGTAGAGAGCAGAAAATCGTGCAGTTGCTTGAATCAAGCCTGTGGCGCCTACTTGAGCCCATATAGAGACCGCTGGAGGTGACAAACATGATCGGGGTGCGCTGGGTCCTCATACCCGGGAGGCTACCGCATAAACACGGTTTCAGCCAAGTGCCCATTTTGAAAGGCATTGTGAACGTTTAGCTGCCGTAGAGTCCAGCCACGGGACACTTCAAAAGAAAATAGCATGGGTACTGTAGTCGGTTTGACTACGGGACTAAATGTGTCGAAAAAGTCTTCTCTCGCCACTTGGTTGAACCCCTTTGCAACCAGACGCACCTTATAGCGCTCGATAGATCCATCTGCCTTGTGCTTAGTGCGATAGACCTCTTTACACCCAATGATGTTCATACCGGGTTTTGCTAGTACTAACTGCCAGGTGTTATTGTGTAAAAGGGCGTTGAATTCATGATCCACGGCGTCACGCCATTGTGGGTGGCCCACGACCTGAGAGTAACATGTCGGATCAACAACCATAGTTAGGCGTGGAACTGCTCGCCCGTGCCTCGTGTCATGTGCCGAAACCTCATGAAGTGCCCCCGTTCTTGGGGTTGAGCATGAGTGGCACGGGTCCTATTTAAGGTAGCCGGGGCGGCGTCTTGTATTGCCAAAGGGGCATCAGCTCGTGCTATAGGAGTCACGTTGATAGGCAAAGGGGAACCTTCTGGAACCGTGGGTGTAGCCAATGGCATCGGTGGAGGCCCAACATGTGACACCACTAGCCCGGAGGCCCACGGTGTAATTGACTCGGCTAATTGAGGCTCCCCCTGCAATGACGAATCTGAAGCAAAAGGAAAAACAGACTCATCAAACCGAACATGCCGGAAGATAAAGGTCTTTCCGGTATTAAGGTTCATGCACCTATAACCCCTAAATGACGTAGGGTAATCTAAGAAGACACAGGGGGCTGAGCGGTACTCGATCTTATGCCGATTATATGGCCGAAGATAAGGGTAACAGGGACAGCCAAATACCCTAAGAAACGTGTATGTGGGGGGGTGACTTGTACACACGGTAATGTGGACTCTCAAACTGTAACACTGATGAAGGGAGGCGATTTATGAGATAGGTGGTTGTTTCAAAGGCCGAATCTCAGTATTTTAAGGAAACTGAGCCTTCAGCCAGAAGAGCTAAGCTAGTTTCGACAATATGTCTATTCCTGCGCTCAACTCGGTCGTTTTGCTCGTGTGTCTTGGCGCAAGACTACCTGTGCACAATGCCAAGAGACTCGAATATAGTGTGTAAACGACGGTATTCGCCCCCTAAATCAAACTGTATGAACTTGATAGAACGCGAAAACAAGCATTCTACCATAGCACGAAACAATCCAAAAACTTTATAAATGTCAGATCTTACACGTAAGGGATAAAACTAGCAAACCGTGAAAAATCATCCACAAATAAAACAAAGTATCTAAAACCGTTGGCAGAAATAACAGGGGAAGGCCCCTAAATGTCCGTGTACACAATGTCTAACACATTATTGCTAGAATAACCTACTCTATCAAGAGGAAATCGAGAGGATTTGCCAAGTTGGCATGCTGAACACATCCCTGACGAACCGGATTTATTTGGAAGAACGGGACAACTTTGTAGGAAACGATGGAAGACACGATCATGCGGGTAGCCCAACCTATGATGCCAGGCCAAGGATGAAGCCCGTGCACTGAGGAACGCAAGGTGAGACCGGGGAACCGTTACCCTGTATAAGCCACCCGAACTGGGCCCTTTAAAAAGTACCGCCTTGGTGGTGCAGTCCTTCACAACAAAGAAATTGGGATGAAATTCAAAATAAACATTATTTTCAGTGGTAAACCGTTGAACAGACAGAAGTGACACAGATAAATTAGGCACATGTAATATATTTGACAACCATAACGATTTTGACACAGAAGGAATAGATGCATGACCATCACGGGAAATACCCAAACCTGTACCGTTTCAAACCCGAAGATGAGTTGGGAGAGAATAGATTTGTAACACCCCGTGTTACGACCTTCAATCCTGGATTAATTATTTAATTAATTCCGTTAATAATAATTAAAAAGGATTTAATTTGGTTTGGATTCCCTTAATTAATTAATGTGGTCCACCATGGATCGTGGACCTTTTCCTAAACTAGAGTCTTAAGCCTATTAGGAATAAAGAGAGTAAACATTTTACTAGTCATATTCTAATTAGGAATCCTAGACCTATATATCTGCTAGGA